GACTCATATTGACACTGAGAATTAAAATGAATGCCCAGAGATGGAATTGGGCGGAGTGAGTGGAGAAGAAAGTAGACAAGGAGTGAGAGAAAGAGATACAAAATAGTACTGGAATTGCATTTAAAAAACTTAAAAATGGCAGATAAAGGGAGGTACAGCAATCCTCATAGACCATTCATTTAGTAAACTTTAATGGTAATAATAATCACTTTTCTGCATATAATCCCTTATATTTTTCAAAGTATTTTCAGATACACTTTCTCATTTATGGTCACAACAACCTCATGAATTAGGCACACCATCTACATTTCTATTTTATAGAAGAGGACCCTGAGGCTCAGAAAGGTTAAGTACTTTTCCCAAGGCCACACAGCTAATCAATAGCAGTGCTGGGGCTTAGAACCTAGGTCTTGACCCCTAATCCATTAAACCACACTGACCCTCTCAGTTATGTGTTCTGTGTTTTAGAGGAGTTTGCATCAAAATGGCCTGAAGTTTTTCATGATGGGAAAAAGTAATTTAATTTCCTTTCCCATTTTCCATTTACTCTACATCCTAAATGTCCTAACCTATGACGTGGTGTTAGGAAAACATCCTGACCTATTTCAAGAAGGTATTCCTCCTAGATGATCAAATCTGTACCTTCGTTGTTCAGTCTGGCTGGGTCTACATACATGGAAACAAAATGGTTATGACAATGATTATGACCTTAACAGTCAGATCTATTTATGAAGTTGGACAATTAAAGAAATAGAAACTATCTGGTCTTGATGGTGTCACAATCGGGTTTGACCCAAAGGAGTATTTCTGAAGCTAGTAAGAGTTTTGACAGCATAGCCCACGAAAAAGTGGCATGTTTTTGCCCAGATCACCTACATGTACCTACTTGTCCAATCCTGGAGGTGAATAATATTACCATAAAAACAATCCAAGTCAGGTTAGGTTGTAGGAGGCAAACCAGTCATTCACTTTTTTACTTCAAGTAACAGTCCTTATGTAGCTGCCACTTAAGAGTCTCATCAATTTATAATAAATAGAATAAAAAGAGTCAAAAAAGATTCAGATAGGTGTTGATCCCATAAGACTGGCAGTAGACGGCAACCAATCAAACATAAACTATAAAACTATTTGCTTCCAAGTTATTTCATGCTGCATTACAAAATGACCTTTTAAAAAATAACGATGTATTAGGCATTTTTACTGCTGAAGATGCCAAGAACATATCAAAGTCACCACTTTAAATATACAATCTGCTTTCATGCCTGCAAAAGAAGTGACCAAATTTTGTTAACTATTGACCATTACAGTTCTGAGAGTCACAAAATTTCTCTGCAATGAGGTTTTGCTGCTTGGTGCAAAGATTTAATTCTTTATCTTCATTATCTTTGCTCGGAGCCTTAGCTGCACAAAAACAAAAAAGAGTACAAACAGCTGTATTTTTCCTCTTAGAGATACGGTACTTGACCATTTTTCTTAATTATGCTTGTCATTTCACCCATAACACTGGTTGTTTTGATAGAGGGCAGGAAAAAATAGCCTCTTGACAGACTTGCTTTTCTACTTCTTCAAGTAGCTCATAAAATGACAGATGAAGTATCCAGAATAATTAAGAAAAATACACTTCTCACAGCTTCAGCATTTTTTAAAAAAAATAGTTTCTCTCTAAATTCAAATGCGTGATTGTGGATATGTGTTTCAAAAGTATGTTAGCACTACAGGTGTTTATAAAAATCTTCAGCCTCATATATACATATATATATATTTAAAACCAGTTTGTAAAATATGCATTGGCATTTTCCGGAGCCACCCCTTTCCTCTCCTATATACTTTTTCCTTCTCTGTCTCTAGCTCAGATCCCCCAGTATCTGGCTGGATAAAAATCATAGACAGTTCACTAGCAGAAATTCACATGCAAAATGAAGGAACAAGAAGGGGAAAAAAAAACATTTATTTCTATTGTTAAATTTTCCATCAACCTAAACTGGCTTCTGAGCTGATACCAATATGTACACTTTGGTGGGTGAACAGGATAATTTTCTGGTTGTTTATGGTGCCATATCAGGCAAGATTGGAAGTAATTGGCTTATTTACTTAAGCAAAATGCTGTTTTAGCAAAAGAGGCTTCTGTCCAAGAAAGCAACTTTTGGAATGAATGCTTCTGACAAGGATGATGCATGTTTTGCTGTTGTTGGTTTATTTTACAACTGTTTCAAGGTTCAAGAAAGGAACCCCAATTATCAATCCATGAATTTTACAGCTCTTCACAATGACTCAAAGCACCTATGTTCTCGTAGACCTAGGGACAAATAAGACACACTTAGTTCATTCTCTTCTCACACTAATTAAAAAGTGGTTTTCTAGCTGAAGCTTACAATTGAACTTTTGGAAATGTTTCTACATACTGTATGAAACATCACATTGACTTATAATCTCATGGATAGATTGAAGCCATTTAAACTCTACCTTATTGTGGATTTTTTTTTTTTTTTTTTTATATTGCCCTTTTTTTTTTTCAACTCTTAGCATTGCAATAGCCAATCTGAAGGAATGACTCAAAATACCAGTAGCAGAGAAGACTTCAATCGATCTCTGATGTC